ACTCTTTCCATTTGTTACCTGTTGTGCTCCAGCTGCTCCAAAGAGAAGATGTGTTTGTTGAAATACTCCTGGAGTTTCTCATTTGCATAGTTAATGTTAAACTGCTCAAAACGATTCACCTTCAAGAAGAAACAGAGATTATAAAACTTAACATTCTTGTCCCTGAGCTCTAAAAGAATGTAAAACAGCAATGGGGAAGGTGCCAGGCCTGAAATAAAGCCAGACATCACAAAGGTGAGGGGAATCAGACAGACATGAGGAAAACAGTATGGAGAGGTCCACTAGGAGAACATCTTTTGTAGCTCATGCAAGGTTAATTCAGTAGGCCTAAATGGTAGTAAAGGATACTAAAGATAATAATATTTCTCTTCTTCTTAGGAAGAAAGAAATATAATTCCCTAAGTGTTAGGTCACTGGGGTTTCTCTTCTGTGAAATGTCTGAGCAGTCACTATACGACTGCTCAATACACATCCCTCCTCAAATGCAATCAGAAGCACTACACACAGGATTCCCAACACAAGGCAAAACAGATGTAAACAAATAATGCGCACATAGGAGTTAAATATTTAATTTCTGTACAAGTAAAATATCCAGTCTTATACATCACAGCACATATGCTTAGGGTCTGTGTCACAAACCAGACCTCCAGCATCAGCCTACATGAATACAGGAGGCAGAAATGGACAGCTAAATGCATCTTGCTGCTCCCAGAGGGAAGTGGCAGTGGAGAAATCCTAGAATGCCTTGTGCTAACCTAAACAGGATACAAATCAACCAAAATTCCTTCCTACATGCACTGACATGTTCTAAACCAACCCACCCAGAGAAGACAAAATACTTACCTGAAAGTTCTCAAAACCAAAGATATCCAGGATGCCCACAGACTTAAAGTTTTCTTTGCCTTTGATTTTTGTGTTAATCTTGCTAATGAGCCACGAAAAACACTGGGAATACAGTGCCATGGCCAGGGAGTCCCGGGAGTCAGCTGCCTGTAAATGCAGAGAGAAAAAAGAATCACAGGGAGAAGAGAAGGCATAAGGGGCACCACAGATCTGTATGGGACTTCAGGGTCCTCCACTCCTCTTTAGATGCCTCAGCCTCTGTACTGGTTGTGCATGCTGCAGTATTTATAAGAAAAGTCAACATTCAAGTTTGCAAAGAGTCCAGTCACATGTAGATGTACCATGTCTGACCTCTGGGTAACTGAACTTGAGAGGCTGAAAGAAGCAGCAAAATCCTTGACATGTATTGGAACAAGTGCTGGGGCAGGGAGCATCATGAAAATACCTCCTGACTAAGCCTGTATCAGCCATTTGCATCACATGACCCAACATTTGCCATGACAGGCAAGGTATCTTGGTTCAGTACTCCTGACAGTAGAGCTGTCAAATGGGTGTCCACTCAATTTTTAAAAAACTGGCAGGGCAAGATTTAACAGAGTATTCTGTCACCATGTTAGCCTAAAAAATCCCCACTCCAAAACTTCCCTGCAAACAGCATTATCTTACTGGAAGACAGGGTAGGCTTGCCAACAGCCAGGACAAATACCCCATAAGAGCATGGGTTGAGAGACCTTTCTGGAGCTGACTCAACATCCTGTGCAGTGATCATAATCAAATGTCAGAGGTGGAAAACATTACTTAAATTGTGATCACTAATAGGGAGTAGATAATTTGGTGTATGCAAATGTGTGGGTGAATGTCCAAAATTGAACATTTGTAAAATCTCAAGCAAACGCCTGCTACTTGATAGTTGTAACAGAAATGGGTTGGCTCTATGTTTTGATAATACTTGGCCTAAACAAAAGACACGAGACAGAACCACATATCAAGGGGCTGTCCACATCTTGTCCTGTACATACATTAGACTGAGAAACCAAGGTTTTTCAGAAAGATGTTCTGGAAAGAAGAGGAGGTGAAAAAGAAGAGCTCTCAAAAAGAAGACATGACCCCAGAGAGTAGAAAAAGAGGCCAGGGTAGAAGATCTTAATGGGAAGAAAGATGCTGGAGATCAGAGACATGTCAAGACAAATGTCAGGGTACAAGTCTGAGTAACACAACCTCTCCTGTTCTGCTTTGCAAATGGCACAGTCCAACTGCCTCTGAATTCTCCAAGCCCCTCTCAGCAAGCTTCTGAAGCCCATCCTGCAAGTTCCTTCTTTCCACCCAATCTCACTGTTTTTCTCCTCCTTTCTCTTCCTGCGTACTCTCTCCTCTCCAGGAGCCCAAGGCCTAGGGCACATGGCAACTTCCCTTCTCTACAGAAGAGAACATTTCAAAGCATGGGCACACATGCCTTTTCTGGGTTTTTCTTCTGAACATCAGATGGTCTGTCCTATTAGTTGGGACTGAGAATGCCCTCAAGGCCATGCCTCTGTAGTGTCTCTGGCTACACAGTAAGTTGGACTCATTTTCCCCATCCAGCTGTAGGCAAAGCCACTTTCCCCCCATATGGCTTAAATGAGACTCTCAAAGGCTCCTTTCATCCTCCCAGCCTTGCCCGCCTCCAGGCCAGTTCATCTCTTCCCACTGAAATGTCAAAACTCAGATGAGCAACAACCCTGTTACACCCTGAGAAATCCCTGGCAGCTTTATCAAGGCCTTCCTGGAAGAACAAATGGGAATAGGTGGGCACAGGACATGAGGGCTTAAGCAGGAAGAGTCTTCACAAGCCTTGTGTTCAGTGCAACAGGCTCATCTAGTGCAGACAGATAAGCAGCAGCATCCACTTCCTTAGAACAATTTTTTTGGTGTTTTACTACTTCACTTGGCTGCATGAATTAAATGTGGGGTCCAACATGCACAAATGCCAGGAATAGCTGGAGAAAGCTCTCTTTAGGGAGACTCTTGTAAATCCTACCACTGCAGACTGTTGCTCTGGACTGCACCAAGTGTCTCTGGCATCATTTGTTGTCCATCCTTGTGCACTGCGATAGAAAGATGTGGCTTATTTAGGTCAGACAGCTGAGAAACTGTGACCCTGGATACTGAGGATATCTACTACGGATCACAGGCTGAAAAATAATTTTCAAACAATTTCCTTCAAAGGTATGTCACAGACTATGAAAAACTACACCGTTTCTTGAAGGCAAAGCTTAGTTTGTGATACATTAGCAGGTGTGTTCACAGCAAGGAAAGAAGTCACTACTCTGCTGCAATGAGCTCTGCTGAGACTTCAGCCTGAGTATGGTGTCCAGTTACAGGCACTCCACTTCTTGAAAGATGTGGGAAAACAGAGACAGAAGAAGAAGAGATTTAGAAAAATACTTACAAGGAAACACTGAAGGAACTGGATTGTTTAGCTTAGAAAAGAGAACACCACATGAAAAACTTCACAGAAGCGGAAGCTTGTAAGGTAGACAGCTAGGATGTCAAAGGTGATTCTAAATAGGAGGAAAAACTTTTCAGCTCCAGACTCACTGCAGCTAAAGCAGCATACTTAAAGAGACTGTGAAATTCCTTCCATGGGAAATCTGAATGAAAGTTAGACAGACATCTATTAGAGACAGCCTAGTAAATCTGGTTTCTCTGTCCGGGTAGGGTTGGATTGATAACCCTCTGCAGTCCGTGCTGGCACAAGATTTCAATTACAGATATTCATTGTGCTATAACATGATGCATCTTCCTTCCTAGCAATATTAATCCCTGTTTCCCAGTGTCTGGCATTTTATCAATGACAGAATATTTTCTACAGTTATCTGTGCAGGGACCTAAAACATCAAGAGTGCCCTCAAGTGATCAGCAACACCACAACTTAAAGTTTGTAGGCACAATGGTTATGAACCACAGAGAACTGCAACAGATAAGCAGGACTGGTTCCAAAACACAGTACAGGCTCAGAAGATGAGAATTACATATCAGTTTATTTGGTCCTCATTTGTGGTTGGATGGACACAAAAGCTACTGCAGGGTAACAACCTTCCATCTGTTGGATGTTTTGTGGCAACTGTGCAAGCAATTTACCTTCCAGTAAATGCAGTGTAACTTGGGAGTTCCGCAAGGTAAAAGCATGCACACATGCATTGTCACAAAGTATCTGATGTGCCTTCTGCATGACACAAGCATGACCAATTCCAGGTGAGTGAAGGTCACTTAAAACCAGTATTGGGCATTGCCATTTGCAAGTGAACTTCTCTGCAAAGCCTAAAAAGCAGAGTCAACATTGGGACCTGAACTACCACTAAGGGCAAAACACTTGAGGACACAGCTGAGCACATAGGGGATGTAAAAGGAAACCCTAAGTTGGAATGAGTTATACAGGAGGGAGGCAGAGGGCCTGGAAATGCTGCAGTGGCAGAAGCAGTAGCATATATTAGGATACTTACCTGCTCCACAGTGAGAGGGGAGCTGATCTCTTCCCCCCGCAGAATCATGGACCTCTGCGTCAGTACTTCAGAAAGCTGGAAGGTGTCTAAGCCCAGGAGGTCACTGGCAATGTTGAGCACTAACAACAAAGGAGGACACATTTTCTTCCTGAATGGATCCCCATGGCTCAAGGGGATCCATATTCTGCAGCTCAGTGATGACACCCCAGGGACTCCTACAAGGTAAGTGACTAAGCCCCTTTACTTAATTCTCTTTGGCATACCCAAAACTGTAAGCTCATGTACCCAGTCTGAGGCAGCAGCAGCACCCATTATGGGGCACAGCCAAACAACATGTAAGTCAGCCTTTCTGCTGACAACAGGAAGAGCAAAGCACTGGGTAAAGCTCAGCACCAGCAAAATATTTATTGAATGAGAAGATTTGTTTTCCTAAAGGCACAATAGTGCAGTCTGAGCGTGGGATTGCTATACTTGGATGTCAAGGAAAGTGGCAATTAACTCAAAACTTGAAGCACTTGTGATATATAATTATTGCTTCTGTCTGTTTAGGGCTTCACTTTAGCAGACCAGCTGATTGGATGACTGTACCAGAGTGAACAGTAGCAGATGCTTCAAAGGAAGACGTGGGCAAGTCTGTAACAGGTTGCTTATATCTGAAACTCCTCCCTGTTCCTATTTCTTCCTGCTCTTTCAACACAGAAGAGAAACTCTGAGACTGTGGACATAGTCTGAGAGTGTCCAGGACAGCAAACAGATCACAGGGCCACAGCCCAGCTAAATCAAATTGGAGCTCTGGAGCCATGCACCCTGTGGCAATACCTTTGCAGAGTTGCACTGCAAGGCATCTACTGGCAAAGAGACTGCAGACCAGCATAGAAGAGGGAGAAAGAACAATGGAGTGAGCTTTGTTGGGGGTCTTATGGGGCTTTCCATGGCATACCAAGTTGCTAGGGTTTTGCTTACCTGCTTTTGTTGTAACCTGGGCCCCACCAGCTGTCATGAATTCAACGTTTCCCAGATGAAGTGTGCCAGAAAGAAGTTTGAAGATGTCTCTGATTTCTTCAGTGCTGAAGTCCACCACCTTCATGGCAGTCTATGCAAAACCATACAGCTAATGTTGGCTGTACATCCAGGCACAGTACAGTGCAATGACCACAGTCATGCCCATTCTATATAAGATGTAAAACTCAGAATTATAGTCATCATGAATCGAAATGAAACTGGGGATGGCACAGCACCTCTCTCAGCTATACATCTATAAATGTCTCCTATTCTCTCCTCCATTTAGCCTGTATTCTCAAACAAATGCAGGTGGGCATTTATTTTATCCTTAAGTTGAACCTCACTGCTGCTGTCGCCTGTCATGGGAAGAAAATGTTTGTCTGGGCCTGAGTGAGGAAATCCTTCCCTGAACACTGGCAGTACAGGTTACAGATGTCACTGGAGTACTTCCACTTTCTGCTCTGTTGTCTTCCCTGAAGGACAGATCCATATGATATACTTAATTTACTCCATAACCCTCTTAATTTAGAATAATAGATTTACGCAGCAAGATTTAAAACCAGGCTTTCAGCGTTAAATGCTGGAAGGTTAGAAACAAATTACCAGATAATGGGGAAATATGGCACATTCACTATGTCTTAGTGGATCTGAGCCTGAGTCCTGGGGTATAAACTGACTTTGAGAGCTAGGACCAACTTTTTGTGTATTCATCCTTTCAGTGGGGCACTCCACGGTTCTAGTTCTCTTCTTTCCTCTGGCCTCTCCTCAGCTGAAGTATAAATGCCATGTTGCCATTGAAATCTCTGATGTACAGAAGATGTTTCCTTTCCCTTAAATCATATCTAAGCAGGAGCTACTGAAATTCTAAGATGACTCCTCTCACCTTACCTTTCTGGTTTTGCCTACATTACTAGAGCCCTCAGGCCAATAAACACTTTTCAAACAAAACACAAATTGTATATTCATCCCACTAAACCCATAACCTCTGATAAAGTTACAGATGTCTATTGAAATCCATGTTGTATTTCAGAATATGCCATTTGCACAGGTGATCCAACTTCAGCTGCCCTTGAGATCTGAACCCTGCAACAATGTTTAGCCCATGAGACTGTGCTCAAGACATTCAGGAGGAGTTAGAAGAGGACTCACCATGACCTTACTGAACATCTCTGCATCATTCAGGTTCTCATCAGTCACACAGCCAGACTGGTTCAAGTAGCGGTAAGTCTCTGGCTCAGAGAGGGAGAGGCTCTCTGCAACAGAGGGAAAAGAGGCAGAGAGGACAAAGACAACAATTTATTTAGCAATCAGCCTTTTCACTCTTTGATCTTGGTCCTGAAAATCAGTGTATATGTTTATAATAGGGAGAGTTCATCTGAAGAGATTCCATATCCCTCAAAAGCCACACCTAGGTGATGAAAGCACTGGGGAAGGGGAAGAAGAGGCTATGCAGTAGCAAAGCTTGCAGATGGGATGCAAAATTATTTAGAACAGTCAAATCCCAAGCTGCAGGTCCAAAAGAATATTTCAATATTTCACTGACTCAGCAAAAAACAACAGAAGATTAAATTCAATCTTATAAAGCATACAGAAAAATAGTCTTAACTATATACTCCCCTAAATTAGCAATCACAACTTGAGACAGAGTTCAGTCACAGTAAGATTTCTGATCACATCAACTCAGTGCTAAGTAGCAGACAAAAAATGAGCATTGATTCAGTTCCTTCCATTTTAGAAAGAACAAAACCAAAACATAAACACAGAACGAGGTTTCTGCACTTATCTTTTGCACAACCAGATCTTAAATACTGTCTGCATGTTTGATCTCCCATTTCAAAAAGGATTGTTAACTAAAAGATATATGGAGAAAGGAGACAAGGACAAAGAGAAAGAACCACATTACAGGTGAGGGAAGTGAAGCAGCCTGGATCATCAGCTTGAAAAGGGAGATGGGGAAGAATAACAGAGAACTGTAGAAAAAAAATCTGTTTTATATGCTTTCCCTAAATACCTGCCGCACCTCCCAGGTGGGGACCTGATAACCATGGTCCCCACTATTTCCCTTTGCTTCAGATGGATCTCTGAATTGATGTACCATTCCTGCATGTGCTCCATAGAACTGAAGCCCTACTCCCTTCCACTGTGTCAGGCCCAGTTCATCCATCTGATTATTCTAGTACACTGAGAGCAAAGGCACGAAGAAATTCCCCAGCCTCTCAAACCCGGAGTGCACTGTAACATGTTCCTGCCCATCTATCTGACCTCCCCAGTAGGCCATTAGAGCTCAGCAGTTCCCAGGGACAGGTAGACACAAATCTTATTAAGGGAGTGCTGCACTGTACAGCAGAGTCTCCCACAGCCTGCAGCTGCTGCTTTCTCAGCATGGCCTCTTCCAGACCCATCTCTCCCTTCCCCACATGCAGAGCTAGAAACCCCTTGTTCAGACACTGGGCATGTTGTGACTCTAACCATACCACTGCACTGCAGGTCTTTGAATTCTTATCCCTTCTATTACCTATACTGAAGGTTTGTTGTAAAAGTATGTCTGTCAGTCCAACCTTTGAACTCCTTGAACAGCTCCCTTCAGCATGTAAAATCAAGACTCTTCACCATTCCTTTGCCTCTAACCAGTTTAATTTCCTCTTCACTTTGCACAGGCTTTTTCCTCCAGCTCAGAGTGACTCAAGTGCCTTTTCTCATATAGCACTTCTGTCACCCTCAGCCTTTCTCTCTACTCCCCTTTTCATGTTTCCTATGAAATCTTCACATGGTCTTCAAGAAAAAGCTATATATATCAAGTATCTGAAATATCCATGCTCTAGTTGGCTTACACCTGCTTCACATGCTGAACTGGAAAGAGGACAGACAGAGCCATATCCCAGGAAAGGAAATTACCTTTTTGCTCCCCATTCACACCAGCTAGCAGAGCATAAAAGATGTGGTAATTCCTCTCTCCAGGGTTCTGGTGTACCACTCTGTTCTGGAACAAAGAATACAGGAGTATCCAGTAGAAAGAGATTACACTTGTGTTTGCAAAGGCAAAGAGAGGACCAGGATACAGGTAAATTTCCAGGGCCAGTACACAAGAGAGGCTTCTTCCAGTTTAGTGATGGTGTTGTCTATGTAAGATCTTGTCACATGTGGCCATTCAACTGAGCACATAGAGACGTGTGCGAAGTCAGAGTGTACATATGGACCAACTGAACCTTGTCAGTTCTGGCCCTGCTCCTCAGTGAGTTTCTGAGTCCAAAGTAAACTACATCAGGGCAGAGATGTGTGCATTTGGAGTTGTACCCCCATATTCCTCTCTATGAAATTGAGTTTCCATGAACTTGTTCTCTCTACCCTTCCCCTATGGTAAACAGATTTTTCTTGGAGTCTCTTGGTAATGCACAGTATTTATCAAATACAGACGTACAGGCTCTAATAGATACAGAACAAACATTGTCCTTCCATCATCCTCTTCCTCAATTTGGACAGTTGCAGTAGTAACACTTGAAGAGCTTATGTCTATGTGCTGTGACAGAGGCAACATCATCCAGTAGGAGAACTGGCACTGCACCACCATGATATGAGGAGGAGGCTCATGCAGCAGTCAACAGAGGTGACACTTACCTTTTCCAGTAAATCTGAACAGCATGTTAAGGAAAAAACATTCAAATGACATGAAGTCTAGCAAAGAATCATTTAGGCACATTGGGATGAACCCTGTAACAAGGAACAAATCATTAAGTAACTGATGCTTTGGGAAATGGACAAAGAACAGTCCCAAGCATCATCTCAAATGCTCCTCTCTACTTCTCATCCATGGAGATATTATGTGACAAAGAGATATTTAAAAGGGCAGGGTAAGATAAAGCATAGGACCTGCACAATGATGAGGTAACCCAACAAAAGATGACCGACATTAGTGATACCTAGAAAGATTAGAGAAGCCACTCTAATCTAAAAGCCTGTATTGCACATGGCAAGTCTTGCATCAGTTTTCATTGCTTCTTCAAGAGACCACTATCTTTAATCTACCAACAGCACAAAGAGCAGAAGCTAAACAATCCAACCCTGTTATTTACAACAGTAGTAAATTCATCTGGATGTTACTCCAGTGGAAATTGTTGTGGCTTGCAGTCATCAGCAGCTTTGAACATCAACATCACAAAATGTAGCCAGGGCAGCTTTAGCTGTCTCATGGAGACAAAAGATATATCAGAGCCTCTGGGAGAGGGGTACATGGGCATAGAGGGAAGGAAGCAGTCATGGTACAACGTAATTTGACTATATATATATATATTGACTATACTATATAGTCTTCCCTGCCCTTGTTGTCACTGGAACAGACTCCAGAGAGAAGCAGTCACAGCACCAAGCCTGTCAGAGTTCTGGATAATGCTCAGTCTTATGATTTAGTTTTAGGTAGTCCTGTGAGGAACAGGTTGGATTAAATAATCCTTAGGGGTCTCTTCCAACTTGAGATATTCTATTATTCTATGATTAGGGTTCCAAGGTCCACTGGAGATGGGCAGCCTAAAACAGGGAGTCATAATTGGCCTTCTAAGTTCATGTTTGCCTCTGCATCCAAATATTGCACAGAATATATTGATTCTTAGCCTTGTCTCACTTTTCTAAATCATGAATTCATTGGCAGAGCTAACAACAGGAAACAATCTTCTGGGAAAACCAGGATGCAATCAACATGAAGGATCTTCCTAGGCAGCCTATCCTAGGATTTAAGAGTCAAGTGTTGTGATTGCCAAAGGGAAAAGTCAAACTATGTCCCTACCTGATGAAGTTCAGTGCTGCAGAGCCAAAAAACAAACACTTCTTCCTTCTCCAAAGTGCATATTTGCCCACAGTTATAAACTAGCTTTGAGAAACTGTGATGAGGGATTTCCTGACCCTCTTTTGAGCTCCTCCTTATCTTCACTCACTCCATCCATTTTTGATCCACCGAACAAAAGGATACAGTCAGTTACTCGTCCTCCCTGGATGTGTCCATGTTGGGAGAAGTGCAGCTGGATGAACTTGCCAAAGCGGCTGGAGTTGTTGTTATAAACTGTCTTGGCATTTCCAAAGGCCTCCAGAATGGGGCTGTAGAAACAAGGGAATGAAGATATGGTTGACGATTTGATATCATTACAACAAAGATTGTGCCCAGCCTTTTGCCATTTGCACACATGCACTGCCATGTGAGATTAATTTTTTATAGCACCAGGCTGGACAAGCAGGAAGAGCTCAGGAGCAAGGAAGGATGGCAAGAGCAGCTAAACATGCTGTGACATTATTTTAAAACCTTTGGGATTAGAGTTAATTAAATCAGTCCCCAGTCAGTACGAGCAGCTGGTGTTCATGATGTTGAGGGCATTCCCCACCAATATGACTTCAGGAAAAGAAAGGTGGTAAGACCCAGCCAGGTTGTGTGCTTAACATAGGAGCATCCCATGAGATGGGCTTGTATTTTTTTCAGGATTTTCAGAAGCATCAGACCTATAGGGCAAAAGCTCTGTATCTTTAAACCACACAGTTCTTTGTTTCTGCATCTACCTTTGAAAGAGAAGGCAGTATAAGCCATTTCTTAATGTTACAGGTAAACATATTCATATTAGTAGATAAACATAGTACTAAACTGATTTGTTTGGTACTGAAATTTGATACCAGAACGCACAAACACTTGTTGTTACTTAAATCTTGTTTAGGTTGATACATGCCACATAGTTTCCAAGCAGAGGGAATATACACACATTACAGATAAGAAAACTTCAATCTAAGAGGGTCATATAATCTGCTTCAAGAAAAAAAAACAAAACCGTAAAAAAAAAATCCCAAAACTATCACTAAATTTCAGATGGGTGATGAATTAAAGAATTCAGGTCATGTTCTGTCTTCAGGAGGTTCATACAATGTGGAAAATTATGAGATAAAGTGTAGCTTGGTTCTTGTTCCGCAGAACAGTACAAGGGAAAAACCTAACCCATTCAGACTGACACAATAAACCCAGGATAAAGATACTCATTTTTGCAAGTTAGCCAACTCCAAAATAACCTGAAGGCCTGACAAGCAAGGAGTCAGGAAGATGCTACAAGAACAGCCTGTACATTGTCACGTTTAATTTTAAAACACACATATTTTTTAACAAAAATGTTTGCTGTAATTGTTGCTGTAAAGTACTGACATTTTAAACACCTCCACAATGTGCCACTTCACTGGCAACAGGGGCAGATAGAGGATTATTCACAAGTTAATAATTACAAGATGACAAGTAATCACAGCTACAGATACCACTGGAGTTTGCTGAAAGCTTCAGGCCTTGCAAGCATTGTGCTGTTGTGGGAAAGGCACAACAACCTGAAGGAAACTTCAGACAGTGTTTTCCTAATTTATCTCTTGAAAATATCATTTTAAAAAAAAACCTGCTCTGTTATAATAAGCTACAAGCATAGGAAATCCTGCCACAAAAATCTGTGTGCACACATCAGGAGGCAAGTTCCTTGCCCTGAAGAATTTGAACTCCAAGACCCATGCCTCTGAAACAAGTATGTAAGGACATTGCACAGGAATATCCCACTGAGCACACCAACTCCACAAATCAACAAAAATTAATTGGGACAACCAGAAAAAGGGAAAACAGAGTTATGTTATGTGACCTAAACAGTTGCATTGAGGATGCAGTAACCAGCCACCCAATGTTTATGACTCTAAATCATGTTAAATTAGATAAGCAAAGCACAAGGAAGTGTCTTTATAATTTAGTTTGGCAATGATTTCATGCACGTGAGTGCTGAAGTCTTTCAGGGATGGGGGAGGAAACAGGCATGTGGGCGTTTGAGGCTGGCAGCAGCTGCAAGGCAGAAGGGTGGAGGAGCTGGTACAGCCAGGAATGAGGGCATGTGCCTGGGCCAAGCAAACTGCCCACACCAGCAGGCACATCACACCGTGGCATTTGGTGCAGCAGGGAACTGTGTGAGGCAGAGCAGCCATCAGGAAGGTGATGCTGGTGGCTGGGCTGGATGTGGGCAGGCTGTGCTGCAGGACTCAAAACAATGGGGACCAGTCTCAGCAGGGCAGTAAAAAGTGAAGCCTGGATTTTAGACATATTTCAACATATGGAGCTCTAGGATTCAGATGCAGAACTGAAGACTAAAAAAGATTCAAAGATTAGAAGGGTGAGTAACAGGCAAGTTCTATAGGAAATTTCTAACAGGTGACACTGCTATGCTGTCAGCAGTGTCATCCAACATGGAGAAAGGACCTTCAGAGTCAAGCAAACAAGAAAAAAAGCTGACAGGGAAGTCAGCAGGATTTTTAGTGGACTGATGGATATTTTCAAGAAGGAAAACAGACCAAATCAACAGTTCCAAGGGAGTTTTCAGAGCCTGATTTCTAAGAAACACAGCAAACATGACTGTTACAACACACAAGTAAATGATAGAAAGCTGATATAATGCTTTGTTTATAACACTGTCTGAAATGGAAAAAGAACTGAGCATGTACCTAGGTATGTGCTGGGGTGCAAAGGATGAAGATCTGTCACAAGCTAAACCAAGGAGAGCCACTGGCAGAGCAAGTGAAGCTGAACTGCAAGCATATGAGGTAGAATCTTTAGGAGTGGCAGCAAATTCTGGCTCTGGGCCAGGCTTTCAGCTTCACTTCTTCAGAGAAAAGGTGACAAATAAAATTCTCTTGCACTCACACTGCAAGACCTCACTTAGCACTACAGGTGTACACAAAACAGGTCCTGAGCTCTTACTCCACCTCACAACTGGGGGATTTGCAAACTCAGGAACCACCTGCCTACCCTCGTAAGCTTTCTGGACCATAGTCAAGTTACCACTTAACTGCTAAGCAGGCTTAGCCTTCTAAGCATCTCTTCTTAATGCAGATTTTGCAGATCTTGAGTGATGATTGTGTTGCACTTAAGAGATTTTTCCGATTTGCCAACATCCCTGGTAAAATCTACACGCCTAAATAGGATAAATCATCCAACAACGGTGTCTCAAGTACCAGGTCCAGAGGCAGTAACCCTTCTGCTCAATGCTACTCTGCTTACATGGAGTCTAAAAAGGTAATGCTCTTGTAGCTTCCACGTTAGACACTGCATGTCTGCTTAGGCTATTTTCACCACAGTTGCTAGTAACTTCTTTGAGTCACCATGTTCAGGAGACATTCCTTCTCACTACTTTCTGGACATTGAAATAGACCACTTGCACGAGGGTCACTTTTACACAGATGGTTCAAAGTCCTGCAGCTTATTACACAACTAGATCCTATTGCAGACATCCAATTTTTTCATCCAGAGGTTTCTGCAACTATCACAGGCTCAAACTGGGACCAACCTGCAGCCTTGCCCTTGACAGTACTGAACTGCAAGACCTCAGCAGTCTGAGGCACAGACACCTCTAGGCACAGACAAGACAGTCTTGTGGTGGGAAAAATTTTGTTTAATTTAATTTACTCCTGATTAGGAGAAACTTCTAATCATAGATTCAGGTGTTAAGAAAAAGGAGAACACAAACAACAAGATGGACACTTAAGGAAACATCTTTTCTCCCTCCTCCCAAGGCTTAACTGAAGTCAAATACCCCTCAGAGGTGTCAGAACCTACTCTGGCATGAAGTATCCCCCACAGAGTGCACCTTCATCTCCTCATGGCTGCCAGTTTCTTTCCCAAACACACTTGATCCAAGCACCATGTGCTTCCCTGCCTGCCTAATGCCTTGGCACAGTTTTTGCAGGTTGATGGGTATTCCCTGGTGCCAACACCAGCAGAGACAGTTCTGAACAAGTCAAGGACTCTTCCCACACATTCTCTGCTGGAGCCCCCAGCAAACCTCCTCGTTTGTGTCCCCTACTGCTCCCACAGACATTTATCCTTAAAATCACCTGCCTGGACAGCAAGAGTGCTACAAGGTGGTCCACAGGACCTCTAAGGACAAGACACACTGTCAGCCTGAAACAAATGGAAGCTGAAGTACAGTGGGGGCTAAAGAAGGAGACAAGGAGATAGAGTGTGATGGAGACTCACAAGGAGCACAGCCACAACTGAAAGCTGTGGGAGGCAGGAATAACCCAGGACAGCCATCCCTACAGCAGGGAGGGACATTACCCATGTCCTCTGCAGCCACTGCCATGAGAGATACGGGCCCAAGAGCTGGAAAGAGGGATTGCACCTCAACATGCAGGTGAGCTCAGGGGTGCAGCCAGGCAGGCATGGGGCATGAGTTACTGAAGGAGGGAGAAATCCCAGCCTTGGCTAGAGTGTTAATTCCCTGTCTGCCCCGTTCTACTATTGGAAAGAAACCTAATTCATCCACAGGCAGCTGGGAGTGCAGCCAACGTGAGACAACCCAGCAAGACCACAACCTCCACGTTTCCCGGGCACAGCGCAGTTCGGTGGTACGAGCCTCGCTGCCCACACTCAGCGCCTTCCATGGCCCGGCTCCAGCAGCCCAAATGTGGACACAGTGCTACTGGCAGTGCCCTTGCCAAAGGCAGCCTGCCCCAACACACCTGTGTCCCCCCACGTGCCTGGGGGTGGCTGTACCTGCTCTCTAGGATGGCTTCTTCCACTCGCGTGCTCTTCTCAGATGCAGGGGCCCCAAGGGAGGTCTGGCTCATGGCTGACAGAAATTTCAGCAGCAACTTGGTGCTTTCAGTCTTGCCAGCTCCACTTTCTCCACTGTTAAGGAAAAAAGATACATTCCAGTCACAAATCCAGGACAAACCACCATCCCACCCACAGCAGAGAAGTGATCACCAAGAATAAACACGCGGCATTTCCACTGTGGCAAGCAAGGGCCAAGCAAAGGGTAGGGTAGGATGGTGTGAATGCTCAGGCAGATGTCATTGCAGATGGAGCAGCAGGAGCGAGACGTGGAATGCAGGCAGGGAGTAGCTGGATCTCCCATTTCTAACCTTATCAGAACACACTGGCTGTCATGACGCTTCCACAAGCAGCAGTAGCACTCGTTAGCAGTGGCGAAGATATGGGGAGGCAGCTCACCCAGGCGGTGCTGTCTGTACAGGTCTATGGCATCCCCACTGTACAGACCAGGGATGGGTTTGTAGGGATTTACTGATGCCAAGATGGAACCAATGTTTGTCTAGGGGGAGAAAACAAAACACAGCAAGGAAATAAGGCTCTTGAAAAAAAAAATAAATAAAAAAAAATCATGACAAACCCAGACCCTGAAGTAACTCATGGTGAAGGGAGAAAGCCTAAATAAGGAGGTTGGGTTTCAGCCAAGAGCACTCCAATTTGGTAAAGAATGTCAAACCCCAGGGCAGGGGCTGCATGACCGGGTATGGATGGGGCAGTTTGAATTTCACTGCTTTACAGTAAAATGTGCTTTTTCTCTTGCCTTTGCTAAATTAAAATTTAAAAACGTGAAGCCACTTGCATACTCAGCTGCCTTGCACTGTGCTCGTAGCTGAAAAGCAGAGCAGGACTGCAGGAATGGCAGGGAACCTGCAAGTCTTAAGTGAAGGGGGCTTCACAGGGTCCAAGAACCTTCTGAACAAAGAGGTGGGACACAGAGACACACACGCATGTGGGAAGAGCCAGTAAAGGGCATAGTTTTTTCTTCTGCTGAAAAAAAGCTGTTTAGAGCAGCTTAAACCATTTGGCAAGCCAAATCAAACCTGACAGTTGAAGATGAAGCTCAGGATTTCAAGTAAAAATATTTCTACATTTTCTAAACATTTATTTTGAAAACATTTATTTTTAAAACCTCACAGCTCAAGAAAAGATTAAAGTTTAACATAGAATACCCTATGCCCAATATTGAATTTCAAGACATTATTTTGTTAAGTTAGAAGGAAATTAGTTTTGGTTTCTGGCACACAACTTTTTGGCTCAGCCAACCAGCTCAAATCCGGTCAAAGCTGCAGTTCAGGGCAATGGTGCCACCTCTCTCCTAACAATGGCTTTATAATATGGTCAATATCCAGCTTAAATCCTGCTGCTGGTGCAATGGCCTCCTTCACAGGGACATCACGGGCTGCTATACTCCAGGAATACCCATTCTCAGTAGGGGTGACAGAGGAAACACTTAGATTGCTGCAGTAGGTGCCAAGCTTTGTGGCCAGGGACATCTAGTATTATTTCCAAACCATGAACTACAAGTCCTCACATACATATCCAAGGATTTGTGCGCATCTATTGGAAAAACTGTAAACAAAACACTTGGTGGCAAGAAAGATGCCTGCTTTCTCTGCCAAATGAAATCTGAGGCAATACTGCAATGCCAAGCTCTGAAGCCAGAAGCCAGACTAAGATGCTGTATTCATCAAAATATTTAAGGTTTATTTATTAAAGCAGCAGACACATCATCAGGGGGGAAAACATCACCCACCTGCATTATCAGTGTGAACAGGTTAGCATGGAACAAGTCCTGAGGAACCTCTGACATAGACCTTTGTGGGCAGATGTATAATTAATAGGTGATGAAAGCAATAAGCAAGCAGATTTTTGGCAAGACAGGTGGGAGGAAATGGAGACAGAGAGAAAATTGAGAGAGAAAATACAGATTGGGGAACAGCACTGTACAACCAGTTGAGCAACAGCCATTGTCCACAGACTGCAAGACAGAGATGTCCATCCTAACGCTTCTCCCAGACCTTCACAGCACTTTTTCCTCTCAGATGTTTTATTTTGCATTTCCCACTCTGGTTTCAGTTCTCCCAAGGAACAGAGGTCCTACTGCAGTCCTTTCCCCCCTCCACTACAGCCATATCTTTCAGGAGTGTCTGTAGGAAACTTTTATGTCTCCCACTTTCAGTCTCCTCATCACCTGCAGTACCATACAGACAAATTTTATCCACAGTTTTGAATAGTAGTAGCATTTGTGCATCAACCATGTATATACTAGCCACTCTATTAGCAACGAGTGCTTGTCCCCAGAGAACTCTGTAGAGCAGGAAAAGCCATGTATGGCACATTTGCTTCTTAAAACAACAGATTCTACTTGGGTGGTTAGGCATGGCAGAGCTAGGGACAGCCTCTGACTCACTTGTGCATTACTCACATTATGCTGGGTCTACTTTTATTAAGGGATACAGGAATTGCAGGAATGAGGGTGGAAGGTATATTCTTAAATGCTACAGGCTGTTGCTGTGCTTACATAACATTCTTTAACAGTTTGGTCAAACTTGTATAGCATTTCTTTGGAAAATAAAAGGTACTGTTGAGATTGTCAGTGTTCCTGCAGCACAGTAATGATAGAGTTCCACACCAGTCTAGATATACCTCTACCTACACTCCCTGACCAGAAAGGATCCCCTTTAGGACCTCATGGTGGGATGCCTCCAGGCTTACAGCTCAAAAACACACTGCTCTTTTTTACAGCCATTGCCCAATTCATGTTCTCAGTTTTCAATTCCCTCATTACTTATTTTTTATTATTTATTTTTAATTATTTTAATTATTAATACTTCATTATTATCTGTAATACTAGTTACCACTATTCCAGCTTACCATTCCTTCAGGTCAATTTGTTTTCTAAAATATGATATTTCTTACCTGTTTTTAATCTCTCTGATTTCCTTCCAAATATTTTTGGCCTGGAGTGACAGGTGTAATTCCACTAAATACAGATTCATTTGCAACTTTAGCCTAATATGTTCTATCTGTGGAAGCCATTGAGGATGACATTAAATGAACTCAAGCCCTGTAACATTCCTGGTATTCACAGATCACTACAAGTCATTGAGAATGTCAGCTGTAGTGCCACCTAAGTTCTGCTTAACCGAAAACTATGTGCAGCTGGGCTATGGCAAAAACTAATAGTTAGTGATAAGGTAATAGGTAGTGATAAGGTAAGTGCAATAATAATGTCTGCACTGCAGAAATGAAAAACAGCACTTGTACAGTTTGAGTCCTCCAGGTCAGACACTGTGCAAACATATACCCAGATCCAGTCCCACTCAAGGAGGGGCTGACAATCCTTCACTAAGGAGTTCTACCCAGTGGTGAGCATGTTACAGGGGTCAGGCCCCTTCAGAAATCTCTGAAAAATTCAGATCTGAGGTTCACAGCTGACATTCACGTATTACACACAAGCAGAAAATTACATACTTAAACTTCAGCACCTTTACAGACAGATGGAGAAGGCACTAATGCTGAATAGGAAAAGGAATGACATAACAGAGCTCAAGGAAAGGCTTACGAAGATGCAGCTGCTGTGACACCATCACACACAGTGCTGGTGTTGTAGCATTTCTGGGGTAGAAATGCTGCACTGACATGAAGACTGAAATGCAGACTGAAAATTGAGAGAATCCTGCCTCACATTTCAAAACATGAGGAAGAAGAAATGGGAGGAATATACTATGCTATGTTGATAGGCAACAGGCAAGGGAGCCTACAGCAACAAAATAGAGAATTTCCAGTCTCCTCTGCATTCCAGTGCAGGAGATACTTCAGAAAGAGGGTAATTTTTTTTATAATTTCCTGGAATAAAGGGGTATATGGTTTGGTTGCCTTGGTAACAGTTGCTGTGCAATGCAGATAGAGATTTACGTTTTTCTTATCATAATATGGAAAACTCTGGGTGCACATAGCACAGAAACACAAGGTAAGAGTAAAGCAATGTAAAGGCAGCTTTCATAATATATCCTCCTAGTCCCTTCTAGGTCTCAGCAGAGCACACTGCCATCCCAGCACTCCAGGGATGCCTGCGCCCAGGTGTGCTTTTCCTCACAAGTCCTTTTCCAGACACTTGCTTCCTTCCTGAGGGCCCAAGAGGGAAATCAGGAGATAGTTTGAGTAGTCATCTGTGCAAGGAAAGCAAAGCAACTCAGAAAAAGCAAAACTGCACGTAAAAGCAGAAGAATTAGGCAACAGGTTTGCTTTCCTAGTTTTGTTGAGCAATAAGATCAGGAGGGATGTTCAAAACCAACCTGTGTACGCTGCACTTTCCAGTCTGCTTGGCCATATAAACCTTTGAATAGCAATAATGGGGAACCTGGGGAATGTGAATGCCAGCTTAGAAAACACAGATGGTCATAGAGGATACAGAGCAGCACAATTGCCACAAAGCCTAGAGGTGAACATTCGTATTTTGGAAGTTCTATGGATGCAGAGGCCCCTCTGGTAGGGGTAGGATCTCACAGAGCTGGCAAGGCAGAAAAATCCTCCATTTTTATCCACATGAAACAATGCTGAGGAAACAATGCTAAATTCAGTATTTCACATGCAAAGTGGCAGCCCCGAAGCTAAACAAAAATCAGGAGCCAGAAGGTACATGGCCCAGTTTGAGCACTTACATAGATGTTACCCTGCTGGTAGCGCTGGTGCAGGTTAAGTAAGATGGCAGCTTCGTGCAGATCTCCCAGCATAGACATGTCTTCTACCCCATCAATGCTGGTCTGGTGCATTGGCAAGACCTTTTCTCTGGAAAGTGAGGCTGTGGGGTACTGGAATACCTGGAAGAATGGGGAGGAGGACAAATTAGCTCATGAAACCTGGGCACATGGTCTGATTTCCTACCACAAACATCCTGCCTTCCACAGCTTTATGCTTCAGCCTGGAAAAGGAAATTAAGGAGGCACAGATCTGTTCCCTATTTTTACAGTAATTCTTCTGTTTCTCTTCCTACCTCTTCCAGCTCTCTGGCCAGAAACCACAAAGCAACACTCCCTTCTTTTGCTACAGAGTCAGTCTCTCACCTTCACTACTGACAGTGACGGATCAACGCAAGCCTACTTGATTTGTACCAAGTCTCCTTAGGAGCAGGGCACCAGCCTCCAGCTGCACTGGGCCAAATGAGATGAGAAGACAAATAAAGCAGTGACCTCCTGTGTGCATGCTGACATGTATGAATGTGATGTAGCTTTCAAGTGTTTGTACAATGACAGCTATGAACTTCGACCCCTCTAGGAAGTGCCCTCTTCTCTCGCTCTGTAGTTGCATTCTTCTTGCTTCAATTGCTGCATCCTTCTTCCCACTAGAACTTCCTTCTCCTCAATAACCCACTCTTCTGCTATCAGGTCATCTTCTTCACCCCTTTTGAACATAGCTGAGATTCTGTGGCTGTTCCCCTCCACCACAGCCACATCCCAGCCATTCTTTCCTCCTCCTCAAGCACGATGCTGGCATTTCACAAAAGTTATTTCAGATGCTTCCCACTCTTGGATTCAACCATGTGCCATCTCCCACCAGCAACCTAAGCTGTACTGGATGGTAAGACCAAAGATAGATGGGAGACTTCATCCAAGCAGCCTGGAGAAGCACACTGGCCTGCAGTAACCCTTCCAAAGAAACCAGAGCTTTTCCTTCCCTTCTGAGGCTCTGGTCTCTATCTCATTTCCAGCCCTGCCCATCAGCTCTCCCAGGTGCCAGCAAGAAACTGACGGACTCCATAAAGAATGACCCATGATCTATAGCATTGCTATAACTGGTTTCTCCTGCCTGCTTTCTTGGAACTGCTAGGGAGAGGCCATCCAGGCAGCTGCAGGCTGCAGACAGAATGAGGTCACCCTGCCCCCTCTAGCAAGCCACCCGTGTGAGTCCCTCGCAAGGAGCTCATTGCTGCAGCTCACTGCAGGTGCCCACTGAGCACCCCTTCTCAGCCCAGACCCTGCACACTTGCCAGGGGGAGGGGAAGGAATCTCTTTATGAGACCCCCACAACGCCTGCAAAAGCCTGCACGATCAGGCAGCAGCTCTGTTCCTTAAGGAAGCTGGAGGGGAAAAGGAGGCTCATTTTCCAGATGCGTTTGCCCCAGGTCTGCCCAGTCACACCTAATGTGACAGGGACTCAGCCTATTGCACTGGGAGACTGCCCCAATTTTCTGCCAGCCAATAGACTTTAAGAAAACACTTGGTTCATGAACAGCTTAGAGCTAAGCCCATTCCAGCACACAGGCTCTCTGCAGACCTCCATGGTCTTCTCCACACCACTTCTGCACCTGGGTATCAGACAGGTGTGAGTCTACCAGCAGCAGGACCCCCACTCTGGACACATGGCCCCAGAAAATATGAATTATTTTTTTTCCTTCTTTAGAGCAGAGGCCTCAGGCACTTCTACAAGAGAACTGGGAGACCAGGGAGAATGGGACAAACAAATTCAGGGAAGAGTACAGGCTGCAGATGCACAACATGAACTAGACTCAGTCAGGAGCAAAACCACTTTCAAAGCATAAGGCAGCAAACCACCTTGGCTCCCTTTTCTCTGCTGACTTGGACAACTTTTGGAAGGGGACAAGTCCCAAACTGTATGATGTGATCCTATCTTACATCTCTCTAGCACTTACTCATTTACCACTGCATAGTCAGCACTTGTGGCAATTTGGATCAGAAGGGAAACATTAAGAAAACATCTAAGGAAAAAGCTGAGTGGACAAGTGTTCCAGAAGAGACCGGGCAGTTGGCAGCACCTGATTGGGACTATTCAGTCACCCCTCTCTAAAAAAAGTCTCATCCAAGGTCCTCCAAGAGTGAAGCAGGTGCTCTGTCAAGACTGCAGCAAAAGTGGACTAGGAGCATTGGCTCTGGTACCCTCTGGACAGAAATACTGCACATTTGAAAAATACTTCCTGGAGGAGAGGTCTGATGACACATTGGCACCCTAGCCAAGGGCAAGATGTCACCTATCTGTCCCTGAGGCCAGGGAGGTTCACCAACTATCCTTGCTCATCACTGCACCCTTCCTCAGGCAGAGTCTGGGGCCTCTGGCTCCACACAGATTTGGGAGGTGAGGTCCCTGTGTCTCTGGAAGGCATGTGTAGCATGCAGGAGAGGTTTCAGGCCTTCCCTAACACTGGGAGAGAGCTGACTTTCAATCTGTCCACTGCCCTCCAGGGTAGACAAGTTTCCAGTCTCTGTATCATCAACAGGCTGCAGGGATCATCCAAGGTCCTGGAGATAAACGTGATGCATTTTTTTTGTTCCAAAGATTGTGTCAAAGGGGATTTCCCTGACAAAAGTGAGAGACAAAAATGATCCAAACATGATGACCCTTCAACCCTTAGAGCTTGCAAGATGTCACACTGATCCAAGCCAGCCGGGTCCTTTCCCATGTCCAGCCACACCAGTGGCTTCTAGGCCCCCTCCAGCAACATGGAGTAGAGGACTCAGGAGGGAAACCCTCCCCACCATCCTGCTCAAGGTAAGGTGAGCCAGTCTGCTGTCAGCATCTTGCACTACTGAGCTGAATATCGTGGCTGATTTTGCCTGAAGCAGGTGAGAATATAGATGAACTGATCTCTCAACAGAGCTGCCTCTGGAATATCCCTTTTATGACAAATTAATACTTAAATGGAAAGTCACAGGCATTAATAAGCAGATCTTTATTCTCTGGGAAGAAATCACATCATCTTTCTGTCTAAGTGAAAACATGCCAAATACCACACAGGCACCTCATAACATAACAATACTTTCCTCCCAGTAATGAACTGATTGTCTCAGATTTACCCCCCAGTCAGAACAAAATGACCAGGACTCTCTCCAAACCCCTGCAATGAACGGGAATAAAACCAAACCTGTTTGGCAGACAAGCCAAAGTGAGGATTGCCAATCAAACCAGCTGAGTAGGGGAGAAATTATTCCTTCTCAGCCTCAAATCCATCCATTAGCACAACCCTGAGCACACAAGCAAAGCTCCCATTCAGCATTTAAGTTGTTTATCCACAAAGTATTCAGCTGGTCCGTCTGGACTGTGGTTTCCAATCTTGTGTTTCTCAAGTGCCGGCTCCTCCTTTCCTCCCAGGAAGTCACTTTTCTCATGGATATTTTGTTTGAGGTGTTTTTAAGGAAGTGAGAATAAATGGCAAAAACCCTGAAACACAAGACTGGACTTCTTACTTCAGAGCTGCAAGAGCTACAGGGATGCTGGGCCACAGAAAACCCAACAACACCACATTTAGGGATCCTAATATCAGGGGGATGAACTGAACCATCGAGCCCAAAGTCAAATGAATAAGTTTTCACCTGAGTTCTCTTCTGACATAAAACAGCCAGTCCCTCTTACAGTTATCAAACAATGAAGGTGGCAGGCAAGGGAAGCACATAGGATAGCTACTGTGGAGGAAACTGAATAATGGCACCTCAGACATGCCAGGTGGGCTGAGATGATTTTCCAACGCCACAGGACCATATCAGCACAGACAGAAGCAAGACTGTGAGAATCACAGGACTATTTGCCATTTGTTCACCCTCCACAGGTGGCTGCATTACCTGGGATGAATGCCTCTGTGATCTCTTAACATGAGTTAGTGCCTGTCCATCACTCTCAAAACAAAGCAACTCCTCAAGAAAGGATTTAAGAGACTTGAGTAACCAGATGGAAAACCTGTGTCTGGTAAGTGAGTTTTTGCCCCTGAGAAACAAATCACCCTCTTTAAAAAAGAACATTGGTTCAAAATCTAACCCTGTCAAAGCAAGGCTGAAAAATATGACAGTCCTACCACTGACTCTCCACAAGTTGGAGTCCTAAATCCCCTTTTCCTGCACCCTCCTTTGTTTGCCAGGTAAATGGCTGCAAAAAGGCATCCAATTTTCTGTAACAAAGAAGCTGTCTGCAGAGCACCTTCACCAAAACAGCTGAGCAGATCAAATTGCTCATTGCTGGAAAGCACAGTCCTGCCCATTTCCCCTTTCTCCTCCCAGTCCAGGAGACTCACTGAGAAGCTCAGTGAAGGAAGTGAATAGTTTTCCCAGGGTTAGGGAGCCAAGCTGACTCACTGAGGACTTGAATGATCCCCAGAGGTCCCTTCACACCAGTATGACTCCAAAGGCACTGCAGCAGGCACACTAGGGAACCACAAGGAGCACAGGGAAAAAAGAGTAAGGGGCTTGTTCCCTCTCACTGATGGGGAAATCTGCTCTCAGAGAAGCTCAGTTGTCTTGTTGAACTGTTCTGTGCATAGCTGCTCCCCCTGCACTGCTGTCTGACATGGGGAGCTGGCTTCTACATGCCCCTGACCCAAAGGGCTGAGGGCAAAAGCTGCTGAAGCTGATGGTGGTGAGCACATCAGCCCTTATAGCAGCACAGTTTGCAAGAAGCACATCCCAGCAGAAAGGGCTGTTTAGTTGAGGGAGATGCCTCCTTCTTGCCAATACCATGGCTTTACTAGTCTGCTAGAGCAACTTCTTCAAAGATGGCACAAGAAAAACCAATCAAAGTGAGGTGGGCAGAAAAATGAACAGAAGGAAGTGAACAATCTTCTCAACCTTTGTTAGACCTTTGGCATGGTTTGTAACAGAGCCTGTCACTAACTTTTCAGAGAGAATTACAGCATTTCAGTTGATACATTTCGTTTCAGCATGAAGGTCATGCAAGACTAAGAAGTCCATATCGCAACTTGGCATAAGCCACAGCCTCATGCAAACTCCACTTACCGTGCCATAATCTGAGGTGAAGAGCACGTTTCCATCGGGACACGAGCCAACAGTGCATGGCTGCAGCTGGTCCTGCTCCTGCAGCCATACCCTGGCACCCTGAAAAAACAGAAGACCTCCCATTAGAAAGACCTGGAGCCTGCAAGATCTGTGCATGAGGTGCAAACACCCAAGGAAAGCTGGGGCCAGCTGTGGTGTTCAGAGGCTACTTCCAGGCTACTGCTGCTTGACATTTTGAAGCAAGCCATACCTGCATTTTCAAAGAAACTGGTTTTGATATTTATAACATAACGTGAGAGGAAGAAAAAAGCAGTTTTAATCAACTTCATGCAGAAGTCAACGTAAGGAAACATCAGTTTTTATAGAAAGAGTCATGGAGAGATACAAACACACACAATAGTGGGTTTGACTGTCTAAATATTTTCAGACTTGGAATAGCTGGTCATTAAAAGTCATGGTATAATAATAGCAAATGTAAATAAAGCATGTTTACAATTTTATACACCCACACACCATTGTAAATGAAAATGCTTCCAGAAATCATCAGCAACAGCTAAGCAGACTTCACAGAGCTTTGTTTGCCTCTCTTGCAAGTTCTTGGGTAAACGACATGGCTTGAGTGTTTCTGATGTATATATACACTGATATATATTATGATGGCCCTGATGGATACACAGTTTCACACACACTACAAGGTCTTAAATTGCTCAGTGGCTCTCAAGGTAGCCCTGAGCACAGACTTCTGGCAACACATACACAGGAATCTGCGGGGCAAGCAGATCTCATAGCTCACCTACCAAAGAAGTGCTCCTGCCTGAGGGGCACTGTACAG